GCCCTAGCTGTTTTGGCGCAGTGGATAGAGTGTCAGCCTGTGGACTGAAGCATCCCAGGATTGATTCTGGTCAAGGGCACGTGCCTGGGTTGCGGGTTCGATCCACGATTCTCTCTCATCATTGATGTTTCTTATCTCTCGCTCTCTCCCTCTCCCTTCCCCTCTCTCTAAAAATCAATACAAACATTTTTTTTTTTTAAAAAAGCTGTTGGTGGGACGGCTGGCAGCGGCTGCAGAAGGTCTCTGGGTTAACGGACCGTCGCGAGTCGGTGCGCATGTCAATCGCTCTATGGCTGTCCTATCAGACGTCAGCACTGGGAGCTGCTTTCAGGCACACGGGCATTCCCTGGGCTGTTTTTGCAACTCCCTTGTAAATGTGAAATTATTTCACCACGGACAGTTAAAAACCATTTTAAAAAGTGCTCTAGTAGTTGGTCATCACTGGAGCTCAGTGATGGGGACATAGGGTTCGTTATGCGAGTCTCTCTCCTTGCACTGACAGCTGAAATGATTCATGACAAAAGTTAAAAAGATTTAAGAGACGAAAGCCACATGCAAGAAAGGCACAGGCCTTGTCTGGATTTGATGCAAAAACAAAGTGACCTAAGAGCACGTCTCTGAGGCAGCCAGGAGACAGTGTGGGTTGGTATCATGAAAAGGTGCATTGATGCTCGGCTGGTGTGGCTCAGTGGTGGGGCGTCGGCCTATGAACCAGGAGGTCAGGGGTTGATTCCCGGTCAGGGAACAGTCCGGGTTGCGGGCTCGATCCCCAGTGTGGGGCGTGCAGGAGGCGGCCGGTCCATGATTCTCTCTCATCATTGATGCTTCTATCTCCTATCTCTCCCTCCCTCTCCCTTCCTCTCTGACGTCAATAAAAATATATTTAAAAAACAAACAATAAATAAAACACTCAGTGGATTTCCTTTGCTGCCTTTTCCCCGTTTCCAGCCAAATCAGCTCTCATGGTGGGGGGGTCCGCACGTGGCTGCCCAGCCCACAAGGCTGCCTGAGCCCCCAGGCCCCCAGGCGGCGTGGTGAGGGCCCCTCCCTACACAGCTGCCTCCACGTGCATCTGCATCCGCAAGGCAACCTACCTGGTGGGCCTCCACGCCCAGCTCCTGCAGGGCCGACCTGAAGAACTCCGGGGAGGGCTTGCCCACCACCTCGGCCTCGACGCCACAGGCGTACTGCAGAGAGAGGGCACGCGTGGGTGTGGGGCGAAGCAACGGGACACCGACTGCAGGGAAGGCCTCCCTCTGGGAGCCAGGGGCCTCGGGGGCAGGACGTGTGAGACGCGTCTGATAGACACGAGCGGACGACGCCACGTCGGGTGCCTGGGATGCTCAGAGCCGCACCTCCAGGCCCGCCACCTGCTCAAACCCCCAGCTGTGGGGGAGGCGGCCCAGAGGTGGCAGTCTCGGGCACCTGACCGAGTTCTCACCCGTATTCCTGCTTCTCCCCTCCCCTGCCCACCCCGCTGGTCACGGCTCCCCCAGGATGCGTCCAGGGCTCCACGTCCCATCCGTCCCTCCCCGCACGGGTGCAGGCAGGCAGGGCTGGTGCCCAGTGCAGGCGGGCGGTGAGAGGAGCTGGCCGGGGCCGGAGCCGAGGCCAGGACAGCGGG